CCCGCGGCCGCCGCTCCACGTCAGCGCCCCGGAACCGCCTCGGCCGCGGCCGCTTCCCCTTCCCGCTCCACGCCCGCCCCCGGCGGAAAGGGAAGCGCCGGGAACCCGAGCGCAGGGCCGGGGCAGGGCCGGGACCCGCCGGGGATGGAGGCAGCGCCGGGCCGGGGCCGCGGCTCCCTCGGGCTCCGCTGGGCGCTGCTCGTGGCCGCGCTGGCGGCGGGTGAGGGGGCGCGGGGGGACCGGGGGGGCCTCTGGGAGCCGGGGAGGGCTCGGACCGTCACCCCCCGAAATTTGGGGTACGGGGAGAGCCCGGGGTGTGTCCTCTGTGAGCCGGGGAGGGCTCGGACCGTCACCCCCCCGAAATTTGGGGTACGGGGAGGGCTCGGACCCTCACCCCCCCGAAATTTGGGGTACGGGGAGAGCCTGGGGTGTGTCCTCTGTGAGCCGGGGAGGGGTCGGACCCTCACCCCCCCCAAAACTTTGGGATACGGGGAGGGCTCGGACCGTCACCCCCCCGAAATTTGGGGTAGGGGGAGAGCCTGGGGTGTGTCCTCTGTGAGCCGGGGAGGGCTCGGACCGTCACCCCCCCGAAATTTGGGGTACGGGGAGAGTCTGGGGTGTGTCCTCTGGGAGCCGGGGAGGGGTCGGACCGTCACCCCCCCGAAATTTGGGGTACGGGGAGAGTCTGGGGTGTGTCCTGTGAGCCGGGGAGGGGCTCAGATTCACCACCCACCCCGCCGGGGTGTGTCCTCCGAGCTGGGGAGGGGCTCCTGTCCCACCCCTCGACCCTTTTGGGTGCCCCCTCTGAACTGGGGAGGGGCTCCTGTGCCCCCCTCTGACCCCTTTGGGTGCCCCCTTTGAGCTGGGGAGGGGCTCAGATTCACTCCCCTGACCCTTTTGGGTGCCCCCTCCGAGCTGGGGAGGGGCTCCTGTCCCTCTCCCGACCCTTTTGGGTGTCCCTTCTGAGCTGGGAAGGGGCTCAGATTCACTCCCCTGACCCTTTTGGGTGCCCCCTCTGAGCTGGAAAGGGGCTCCTGTCCCCCCCCTCGACCCTTTTGGGTGCCCCCTCTGAACTGGGGAGGGGCTCCTGTCCCTCTCCCGACCCCTTTTGGGTGTCCCCTCTGAGCTGGGGAGGGGCTCAGATTCACCCCCCTGACCCTTTTGGGTGCCCCCTCTGAGCTGGGAAGGGGCTCAGATTCACCACCACCCCCCTATGAGCCCCCAGGGTGCCCCCTGTCTGCTGGGGGGGGGGTTAAAACCCCTCTCCACCCCCTCTGGAGCATCCCCTGAGCCGGGGCCGGGTCTCCTCCGCAGGTTCCTGCCGCGGGAATTCCGTGGAGAGGAAGATCTACATCCCCCTGAACAGGACGGCCCCGTGCGTGCGGCTCCTCAACGCCACACACCAGATCGGCTGCCAGTGTGAGCCCCGGGGGCCTGGGGGGGTCTGACCGTGGGAGGGGGGGTGAGGAACCCTCCTGGTGCCCCTGGTCCCCAGCACCTCTTAATCCTGCTGGTAATGAACCGTGGAATGGTTTGGGGTTGGAAGGGACATTAAAGATCACCCCAATTCCACCCCTCCCGCTAGCTCCATCCAAGGGATGGGGCTCCATCCAGCCTGGCCTGGGACATTCCCAGGGATGGGGCTCCATCCAGCCTGGCCTGGGACATTCCCAGGGATGGGGCTCCATCCAGCCTGGCCTGGGACATTCCCAGGGATGGGGCAGCCATCCAGCCTGGCCTGGGACATTCCCAGGGATGGGGCAGCC